CATGAGCATTTGCTTAAATAAGTGCTTCTAAATCATGATCAATTTTCAATAATTTACGAACAAATGAAAAGAAAACATAAACAACGTAAATAACGCAACAGTATGCATAAGTTCAAGCAATATCTCTATTTATGATGTGTCAGCCATATGTCAAAAATTCAAAAACTCTCTAATATCTCATGACTTCAAGTAAAGATGTAAATAGAGCGGTCCATCTTTATGTTTACGTCCATAGTCTATCCGCTCTCGGTCTCCACTCCAATATCAAAAAAATCTTATAGTGGAGACCGATATTTTTGAATGGAGACCTAAGTAAACATAGTGACCGCAGTCGTACCATACTTTTTTTCTTTTTGGTTTCCTCAGGACTAATTAACAAAATCTAATTGTATTATTAATTTTTTTTTGTATTTATTGTTCCCTGTAAAATCGAACATTACTAATAACCCTTGTGGTTAAAGCCGCTTCAAATAAAAAAAAAAATAACTTAAATGACAGTACTTTTGACAAACTATTTTACAATATTTAACATAAATTTTTAAACCATTAAATGATTTAATTTGGTAACATAACGATGGTGAAGGATCAATATGTCCTATCTAAAAAAACGCTACTTTTCAGGAGAGCGAAAAAATTATTTTATAGATATAGTTTTAATGGACGAGGTACGAAAAAAAAACATGTCAATTTTATTTTTTTAATATGGTTTTTTTTGTAAAAAGGACAGTTTAAAAAAAATTTCTTGTAATACTTTTTAAAAGATAGAATAAATTAAAATAAAAGTTTGTGATACATAGGACATATTACAATTCATAATTGTACCATCTAATATTATAAAAAATAGTTCCAGAGTGAAACTATTTGGCGCATAGGATATTTGGCGCATATTCTTGTATCTAATTGTTCTTATATTAAGAACAGAATCTATCTACCTATTAAAAAAACTCAACATTTTGCAGTAAATAACGAAAAACTAAAACATAACATTGTATTTTTTAAACTAAATAGGTACAAGTCAAAAATAAAATAGAAATTTCACATAGGCAAATTGTAAATTTCAGTATTATGACACTTCACGGCCAATACGGAATCCATCTTTGTTACGAAAGTTTTACTCTGAATATGACAAATTGTCGTAAAAACTGTGACAATCTTCTGGAATTACCGATTTTAATTCCTGCAGGTGTTGCCATTTCGATTTAGGAATTTTACACCTTTGCGTGTACAGCGGAGGATAATTTTCAATTGGAGGATACTTTTTAGACCTTATTGGTAATTCAGTGAATTCTGAGCTAGAATGATCCAGTTTTACCTTGATAACGCCCTGTAGATCATAATTGATAACCCTGATATCCATAACTACCGGATCTTTTGCTACTCTACCTGGTCGTATCGATGAATATCTCAGAGGGTTTGTATAATTTTTAAAGAAACTGAACTTACAGTTTATTGCTTTGAACTTAATTTCCCGGTTTTTAATTTTTGTTCAATACAGGCATACACTGAATCGACTTCCATCTGGGTATGCCCAACTTCCAAAAACTTTTGAATAATTTGTACATTATGCATTATGCAAAAGTTTAGCAAAGCGTTGGACATGACACAATTTCTATTTTGCGCCGTACATCCGTCCGAATATATGATTATCGGTTTTCTGTCATCAGTGAGACAGTATTTGGTAAGGTAGTCTATAAGGCAAGACGTGAATGTAGAGGCTACCAGTTGATTGTTCTGGTCCTCAGAAAACCAGTAACAAGTAGCGTGTTTTGTAGCTACGTTATATACTGTGATGTTATGGCAGCACAATTTTGTTTTATAATAAAAGGCATTTGCCTGGGTGAATGGTGCAAGTTTTACAGCCTGAACATCGAGTTCCAGAGTGATTTGACTGCCAATTGCTGCTTCGTTTTTATCTTTGTCTTTTGCAGCTCTAGCTGTATCCTTTTTGTTAATATGATCCTGCCAAATATTCTCCATAATATTTCCACTTCTGTAGCTTGCACACGTATTACATTGATCCTTTTTCGTGGGCAAAATTGAAATATTTTTCTTGACAATCATTGCACTAAAGGTCGTCCTGCTTACACATCCAACTGTTTCTTGTTCACACTTACTAAGGTAGAATTTATAGACATCCATTATCCTGTGAAGGTAGGTTCCAAATACAATTTGGAGGAGCATTTTCTAGCATAGTGTGAAGGCATTTTTGGGAGGGCATTTAAAAAATTGTCTAGAAAGTCTATGTTGTCTAGTAGTTTCTGATCAGTTTTGTACTGTTTACCACCTGGAGCATGAGGCATTTCAAAAGAACTTTGTTTAACCCAATATTGTACCATCCGATACTTCATTCCAAGCGTGTCTAAAAACATTTGTCGGCAAACCTGTAACTGTTCTTGTCCATTATTTAAATGGTACTGTAAAGTTTTGGTACGTCTGGAGTCATCTCGATGAACAGTATTTTTTATTTTATTAATATGCTTTACATGTGCTGCAACAAAAGCATGTCTTTGTTCCCAAGTTATTTTCTAAAAATGCTCGAAAATTCTTTTTCTAACGTCTTCTGAAAACTCGGAACAATACCTAAATTTTGATTTTCTACACACTTCTTTGTCACAAGTGGGTTGCATGTGACGAGCATCTTTTTGTTTCAACTGTTCATACTTTCCTGTTTGCCCTTTCATGAATCCCAAATAAGGTTTCCCTTCCATTCGGAGTTTCTTATTTTTGTTTCTTTTCCATTGGCTAGGATCAGCAACATTTCTTCTTTTACGCCCTTAATTAATATTGTGATTATTGGGATCAAGTTCTGCTTCAGAACTGTCTGTAGAATTTTCATCACATCCTTCGCTATGGCTATTATAAACAGGATCATATTCTGAACCATCATTTGATGAACTTCTGTTTACAAATATTTGATTATCCCTTAGATTTGTATTTGAAGTTGACGAGTCCTTCAATACTTAACTGCTGATCAGCTATGGGACCTTGAACGTCATTTGACAAATCAGTATTTGTACTTGATGGTTTTACTGCACTTAAATGTTGATCAGTTGCGAGACCTGCTTTTTGATTGTCAGTAGTAGTTTCATCAAGTTGGTCAAGAGCTGGATTATTTTCTGCACCGTCTGTAGCTTTGTTTGACGAATCTGTTTTTGAAGTTAATGGTTTTACAATAACTGAATACTGATCTAAATCTTTTCCGACTTTAGGACTGTTAGTAACGTCTTGAAGGATAATATTGTGTCCTGTTATAATCGGATCAACTGTAATAGGTACATCCCGACTTGTTACAGATTCCCCCAAAATAGTTATTAAAGTGATCGTTTCAGTAACGTTGATTTCATCAGTTGCCTAAAAAATTAATTAAGATATAATCAAGAATTGCTTTGAAGAGTATTAGTACCTTAGTCACAGTTTTGGCTAATTGATCGCTTGATGCTATCTGTAACTCTCTTTACCATTTCAATAATTTTTTTTCCTCTCCCTGATGGATGCATTCTTTTAGTAATCACCCTGTAAATAATTACTTATTATAAATCAAAAACCCTTACGTACTATTGTACAACAAATAGAGTGGTAATTATTTATTAATTTACAGTAGAGTATTTTTTAACTGTAATATACATACAGCCAGATTTGTCACAGATTAATTTTACCTAGGTTTGTTTTATAAGATTACAATACATAATTAAATTTTATATGGACAAAAAGCATAAAGTCCTATCTGGCAATATTCTTATGAGTGAATTATTAGCAGTTATAGTTTCTGATAAAACGAAATGTCCTATCTATCTCTAACCTAACCTAATCTATCTCTTAATATAGCTAATATTTAGAATTTTAACGGTAAATCAATACTACAAGTATACTATTTGCTTCATACTATTTTTATTAACAACTTACCAATATCGTGAACAAAAATAAACGTAAAATAACGTTTTTCTACAGAAAACTTCGACAAATCACCAGCATGTACTTTAGTTTATGGAGAGAAGACACTAAATGCTTAGATAGGATTATTTACTTGCAGATCTGTTGACGCTAGAGATAGTACAACTTGAAATTAGATGGTACGATGCGATGTTGCCTATTTCTCGAAAAAATATAAACTTTGTAAGACATCATTATCCTTTTAATAACTTTGCGCCAAAAATCTCAATTTTGAAAAAAAGGAAGATAGGACATATTGATCCTTCACCGTCGATAAGCCATTTTCTTAAATTTGGTGCTTAATAACGAACCAAAGGTTATGTTTATTCATAATAAAGTTATAGATAAAAGCTTTCTGGGATAAATAATTTTAGTTTTGCAATAACTGTTAAATGGAACTTCTTGAAATTTTTAAAGCTGAATATTTATGACATTGTCCTTATTCTCAAGCAAAATCAAAATTTAATTTTAATTTAAAATGCTTTCTTTTTTTTTAAATTTCCTGAGTGGAAATCAAAAACTAATATAAAGTGTAATTTATATTACAGACAATTGTGGCTTATTCCAATATAAATATAATATTTATATTGGAATAAATTGTAATAACATTTAACCTCACCTAAAATTATAAATACAAGACTTCTTTTGATTTTCAGTTAATAAAAAATATATTTGGTCGTAAAATTACAAATTTCATTTGTAAGTAAAATTTTAAATGTCTTTTTATTATTCTAAAACTAAATAGCACCATGTATTTTTGTCTTTTCTACTATTGCAGGTAATTAAAAAAATATTTATGATAATGGAGCTACATCCTTAAAATTTTAACCAATTTCTTCTATCACATTCAATAAGTATCCACTTAATTCTATCTACTACAAAATCAGGAAGATTTATTTTAGACATATCTGGTTTCTCATTCATGTCTTTTGGCATTGGAAGACCACCTTTTGGACCATTTATCACAAAGCATATAAAAAACATGGTATGAGCCAGTTCCCAGCGGGTAGCTAAGCCTAATTCTTCTATAAACTTCTCGTAAGAAAAATCTAGATCGCAATCAAGGTCTTTCAATGTTTTTTGGAAGTGGTTGTTGGTAAATATTTGAAGAGATCATCCACGTGATTTCTTAAAACATCAAAATTGACGCTTGAGAATACGAAGAAAAATATGTCTGCAGCAGGTGAGTCATAACTGTACAGTTGAAAATCTACAATCTTAACTTCTTTTGTGGTATTTTCAACTTGTTTAACCATAATGTTGTTCACCCATAAATCTCTATGTGTTATGGTAGCAAATGGTTCACGAAACTCGTCACATAATACTGAAAATTTTTTATAAGATTCCTGAATCTTTGGAATAAATTTTTTATATGACTCGTCTTGCAGTACATTGTAGATTATTGAAAAACGTGCTCTACTGGCGGTTTTGGAGAACTAGGGAAATTACAAGACATATACGCTTTAATGTTCTTTTCGAAAGTCTTATTATCCTTTGTTTTATTGCAACTGGTATGGCATGAAACTCTGCAAGACTTTTTAGGATCATCTTGGCGGTTGCCAGGTCAAAGCCTTGGAACCGATCAATATTGTCGAAACCTAAAAATAAAAAATATTAATATTAGTAATTTGCTACACTAAATATTACTATATATAGATGACAGGTATAGAACATTTTCTCTAAAGCTACATATTTTGTGATGATGATGATTTATTTAAATAGGTTATTGGATTTCAGATAAATTCAAAAATAATCTTTTTAGCTTATCTTTGTAGACTTCTAACATATTGTGCGTCTGTCAAATTTTAAATCCAGATTCAGCCTGTGTGCTAATTTTCCCTAGCAGTAGGAACAATTTCCGTAGATTCGATGTCAATGGTGCTCATAAACAACACTTGATGATTCAAATTAACTAGTTTCTGGTGCTTCTTTAAGGTCATGTAATAGATACCTGAGTTTTTCTACCTTGTCGGTAATGTATCAGAACGTTTCTTTGCGCAAAACCAACTGCGCAGTATAGTAGTAGAGAAGCCCCTTCATTTATCCAGGTGTTTTATATGTTTTGTTTAATGCAGTGATAACTATTTGGGCAGGTCATGAATAAATAGTTTGTTTATTTGTTTTGTATTTATTCAGGAAGAAAAAAGAAAAACGATTATTTACAACTTTAAAGTTTACACCACTACTTCCTGCAAGTTATTGGAAAAGATTGTTTGTTATCTTAAGTTTTTGTTTTATGTCCTAGTAGTGATATAAATTAGTGAGCGGTCTTGCATAACTTTAAGATACTCGCATCAGTCCAAAAATAATTATTGAGCTGGAATGCACAGAAGTGTTTTTACTATGTTTAAGTTCTCTTTCGTTCTAGTTTTGATTTGTTCGAAGATATTTTCATCCTAATTGTCACACTAAGATCGTAGGCATGAACAAGCTCTTGGGTTAACGGTGAATTGGCAAGTCGTTGGTATATATGTTGAATAAGTATGATCCAGAGCGCTTCCTTTGCTAGCCATTGCCTTGTTTTACCATCTACTCATCTTTCCATTCATCGCAGAAATGTTTTTATTATTTAACAATGTTTAATGACTGTCGTTAACTATTATTAAATCTGTAGCATAGGTTGAGTAGCAACTGTCTCATTTTAAGTCCGAAGTGCATTATTTGTTCTGTACGAATTTATTCATCACCCTCTCCCTCTATGTACAATGGCTTTATGACCTAAATCCCTGAGCCCTGGTCCCCAACATCATTGGATCTCAAGCATTCCTTTCTTTGGCTGCTCTTATCCTGTTATTAACACTTAATAATATATCTCTTTTTTTCCAAAATAATATTTTTTCAATTGACGGGTGGGTCTAAAATCACACGAGTATACAGGTGATGCCTGTCAGGGCAATTTTTTTTATTTTTGGCAATTTTTTAAGTAAATATTTCTTATCGCTCGGTATGATGTTTTTTGTACGGTCGCAAATCCTATTTAGCATGATGCGAAGTTTAGTAACCTTGCAGTATACCGTAATATACATTACCGTATTATACACTGATTATATGTTTATTTATTATATTCTTTATAATAACTCGAAAACGACTGGATAGATTTAATCAATTTTTGTTTTAAATTTTTTATATAAATTAAAGTAAATTAAATAAAATTAAATTAAACTAAACAAAATTTAAAAAAATTTAATAAAATTAAATAAAAGTATATATAATTAAAAAATAATAAAATTATAAAAAAGTATAATAAGAAAATAAAAATAATTTTTAAATAGTTTTTAAAAAATTATAAAAAAATTAAAAAATTTTATGAAAGAAAATAAAATTTATAAAATTAAATAAAATTAAGTAAAAATAAAGGAAAATAGGCATCAGGAGAAAAAAATAATAAAGAAATAGGAATTTAGGAATAAGTACCAGTATCAGGGACAATCTATGATTTTCGATAAATTTCGACCCTATTTTCGACAATTTGATATAGTACGGCATTTATACTTATTGTTGTCCCCATTGTTGTTTAACCTGGGCTTAGAATATGTCATGCGAAAAATATATCCAAAAATCAAACCAGACATAACTGCTCTAGGAGAAAAAATCGTACTAGCTTTTACCGATGACGTAGACGCAGTAGCACAATCAACATTAGAATTTAAGGATATTTTCTCGAGTTTTGAAGAAGCTACATTAAAGATCGGTCTAAAAATAAATGAATACAAAACAAAATACATGCTAGTCTTCAAAACAAGAACGACGGCGAATAAGGCAAAACATAAATGATCACAATTTCAAAGTGGTTAAAGAATTTAAATATCTAGAAACAACAATCACAAATGACAACAAATTAGAGCGAGAAGTTAAAACGAGAATAATGGCAGGTAACAGATCTTTCTTTGCACTGAAAAATCTAATGAAGTCAAATCTTCTCTCACGAGGTGCAAAATCCGGATGTATAAGACCATAATACGACCAGCAGTCGCGTATGGAAGCGAAACATAAACGCTAACAAAAAGAGAAGTAAATAAATTGCTGGTGTGGGAACGTCAAATTCTTCCAATGATATATGGCCCTTGCAGAGATAGCGTGACAAACGAATGGAGAGGCAGATATAATAACGAGCTAGAGTCTTTATTCGGAAAAGAAAATCTAGTCAGATATATAAAGGCCAATAGACTCAGATGGGAGTCCATTGGCCTTTATCTTGCGAAATCAAGCGACCATCGTATGGTGAGAGCCAACATTGTGTTAAATACCAACTATGAACGACACAATATGATAAAAAAGAAGCAAATAAACAGATGGACACATCCAAGCAACGAACAAAATTTTGAAGATCATATCGGTAAATTCCTTTAAGAAAAATCATCAACAAATGATATTAACATTCTAAATGACATAATAGTAGAAGCCATAACAGAAGCTCAAAGAAATTCTGCCCAAAAAGCGTAAAAGAAGAAAAAAATAGTCTGGAAACACAGAAAAAAATGGAACAAAGAAGAATACTGAGAAGCGACGAAAACTCTAGTAACGACGATATAAATAGAATGAACAAGGAAGTATTAAGAGAAATCAGAAAGACTTAAGAAATATAAAGATGAGAAAATCATCAAAACCATTGAGGCAAATAAGAGTATGAAAATAATGAGACGCAAACTCACAAATGGAAATAAACAAATAGTCAAACTCAAGGATAAAAATGGCAACATCACATCAAACAGAGAACATTTGTTACAAATTGTGGAATCATTCTATGAGACATTATATAGCAACCAATCGACTCTAGATATAGTCGAATATCAACAGAGGAAGGTTCAAAATCAGGGTTCCGAAGATATTCCAGAAATCTCCTTGAACGAAATTTACAAGGCCCTAAAAAAGATGAAGAATAACAAAGCTCCGGGGGAGGACGGTGTCGTCACTGAAGCGATAAAGATAGGAGGCTCAGTACTGATAGCCAAAATTCAAAATCTCTTTAATCTATGCCTATGGAATCAAAATATTCCCAGTATAATAAGAGATACAGATCAATAACAACAAGGTAGAATTAATCGATAAATACACATACTTGGGTCATGAAATTAGAATAACCAGAGACAACCAAACCTGCGAGCTAAATAGACGAATCATGTTGGGATGGCGGCATATGGACGGATGAGAGACATTTTTAAAACAAATATCCCAATTCACCTGAAAAGGAAGGCATTTAACCAATGCATCTTACCAGTCTTGACCTACGGAGCAGAGACCTTAACTTTAACGAAAGCTACTGCCAAAAAACTGAGGGTAACACAAAGGCGAATAAAGAGATCAATGCTGGGCCTGACCTTGAAAGATCGCGTAAGAAATAAGGAGATACGCCGACGAACTGGCAGAGACGATATTATACTGCGAATCAATAAACAAAAGTGGAGGTGGGCTGGACATGTTGCTAGAATGGAAGACGGAAGATGGACGAAGAGATTATTGAAGTGGAGACCAAGAGCCGACAAGCGAAGTCGAGGCAGACCACCCACCCAATGGACCGACGACCTAAGGAGGATAGAAACAAACTGGATTGCAGCAGCTAGAGATAGAGAGAACTGGAGACGTTTGGAGGAGGCCTATATCCAACAATGGATGTGAAAATTCGGCTGGATAATGATGATGACTCAGATGGGCAGTAGCATGTGATACGCAGTAACAGCAATCACCTTATAAACAATGTGTTCTGGGAAAGGCCAGATGGAAGAAGGTCTGTAGGGCGGCCTAGAAAAAGGTGGAAAGATGCAGTCAAAGAAGATGTAGAGAAAATGGGAATGCGACAATGGAAATTAATGGCACAGGACCGACAAACATGGAAGGCAATAGTAAACGCGGCAAGGACTCACGAAGAGTTGTAGCGCCATTGATGATGATGATGATTTATACTCATAGTCTTGGATTGTTATTTAGATTACTTTTTTACAGTGCCGTAAGAAATGTGAAAGGAAATCTAGCGTGCATTTCTTAGAGAACGCAATTGTATTCTTTTGAAGCATTGAAAAAGAAAGTATAAGCTTAAGTTCAAGTTTGTGGGGTCGCCACCATTGTTCTGCTGCCTCCATCTTGGAAAAAAGGAGCAAAGGTTTGTTGCGGCGTATCCCTCAAACTAACAACCCTACAGGAAATTATGGTGAATATTATTTGTAAAATTGTCTATAACTTTATTTTTATTACATTTTATTACAAAATGGAAAATAAATAAGTTTACACAAAAATACAAACAAATTTCGAACATTTTTCGAAAATCAAAGATTCTACCAATATTTTTGTACAACATTAGGTCGCAGGTCAATATTTTTGTATTACCTACCTAAGTTATAAACGCCGCACCGTTCGATTGTTTGAGGTTTCGCAGTCAATATTCCAAGCACACACAAATATATTTGACCAAAATGACCCCTCTCTTAAGTGTTAAGTATACGTTACTTGTGTAGTCACCTGTACATCTCATACATGTTTCCTGCTCGAATGGAGCATTTAAGAGATTTTTCTCTAATTAGATTAAAAAGGCTGCTTGTTTAACAATTTTCAAATTGAGAGTCTAATAATAACTGTTAAAAATATACATGTCTTTATATAAAAT